ACATTATAAGGACTGCACACCACGCCTGAGGAGAATTTTTCCTTGGGATGTAAGGATGGGCCAGCACACACAAATTTTACCCATGCGGTGTAACATGCTAAGTGAAAGATCAAAACCTGTTTTCATCTCAACAGATGCAACAAAAGGGTTTGATGAAATTTAGTATCCATCCATGATAAAGAATCCCAATAAAATACGCACAGAAAGAATTTACTAGAAAGAGCTTACTAGATTACATGAAAAGTTCACAGCTAAAATCATAAATCGATGGGGAAAAACTAAAAACCTTTCCTCTGGCCCTCTCTTCCTACTGTATTTGGCACAGTACAGGCAGCCATGGCCAGCCCACTAGACAAGGAAAAGAAAAGCCATCTAAATTAGAATGGAAGAAGAGACACTCGTGGAAGAGGACTTCCAGAACTGCTTCAGAAAGTGGCAAGAAGGATGCGATAACTGTGTTCAAAGTGAGAGGGGCAAATTTTATACTCTAATAGATTTTTAAAACTGGAAACATTCAATGTATATTTTGAATCGCATTTCAAATTAGTATAGCCACTATGAAAAACTGTATGAGGCTCCCCCCAAATTAAACAGAACTACCTTATGATCCAACAATTTCACTTCTAGGTGATTATTCAAAGGAAATAAGATCTGTATGTCAAAGGGAAATCTATACTACTAAGTTATTGTGGCATTAGTCACAAAAGCAAGGATACAGAAACACCCCATATATCCATCATTGACAGATGAAAGCATAAAGCAATTATAATATGCACACAAACACATCATGGGACATTACTGGGCCTTAAAAATGAGGAAATCCTGCAATTTGCAAAAACACAGATAAACCTAAAGGAGGTTCATTATGCTACATTAAGCTACACACACAATAATATGACACAACATTGATACAGAGAATCTAAAGACATCAAGATCACTGAAGCAGAGCATAGGATGGTAGTTGACAATGGCCGGGTGCAGGGGAATGGGAAGATTTGGTCAAAGGTACAAAGTGTCAGAGGAGCAGGGTGAATAAACTTAGGAGAGCTAACACATAACCTGGAGACTGGTTAACATTGTACTGTACACTTGAAACACGCTTAGAGGATCAGTTGTGCGTGTTCTCACCACGCATGCACTTGCACACAGGCTAACTATGTGAGGTGACAAGTCAGTTAGTTCAAATGTGGTAGCCATTTCATAATGTATATCAGAACACCGAGGCACACACCTTAAACACGTACAATTTTTATAGGATTTGTCAATTACCCCTCAGTAAAGCTCAACTCTTGAAATACAGACCCATGAGAAGCACTGCTATGTCGCCAGGGCTGTGTGACAAGTGCCCTCATCACCCCCAGAACAGCTATGCCCTCCTGTTCTCCCTCCCACAATCCAGGAAGGTCCCCTACCCACATCTCTACCACCACTTGGTGTCAATCTGAGTGCTAATTTTTGTCAGTTTAATGGGTGAAAGACACTTACCTCACTATTTCAGTTTTAATTTTCATGATTGCTAAAGCATTTGAGCATCTTATTAGATGTTTTTAAGCCTTTGCATTGCCTCTTAGTTGCCCGTTGACGTCTTCTGTTCATTTTCCTGTTGGGTGACTCTTTTTTCCTTACTGACTTTCAGGTTTACTCTATGATTGTGCTGTTCAATAAACCACCCCCTTTTCTAAACAAGGCTACCAGAAAATTTAAACTTAGGCTCATACTATATTTCTGTGAAAAGTGCTGGAGTAGGCATTAAGGCCTTGTGTTTAAGACATCATAAATGTCTTCTGTCACTCTGTCCCTTCTTTATTCATGGTGCTTTTATTCAGATGGTCACATTTACAGATTTCTTTTGCTTAGAGTTTATGCTTCCAAAAAGACTCTTTTACTGCTTCTGTCCTGGCTCACAAAGATATTTTCCTGTTTGTTCTTTTTTTTTCTTTTTTTTTTTTTTTTTCCTGTTCTTTCTATTAGCTTTATCCTGCATTTTTATCTCTCACTTTTAACTCTTTAATTCACTGGAGGCCATTTTTCTGTAAAGTAGTTGTATAGGAAACTTGTCTCAGTGAGTTAGTTTTCCAGTACCATTTATTTATCAGTTTACCTTTTATCTACCAATGTGTGATGCTAGCTTTACTGTATATTAGTTTTACACACACACATACAAGGAATTCCAAGCTCTCTATCAGAGTCCACTACTAGCTACACTTGCTAAACTTTTCTGTAAGAGTATTCTTATTAAAGAAATAAGACACTATTGAGAATATGTATTCCCTGATACAGCTTTCATTTAATGGCTCATAAAAGTCTATTGTGTATTTCTTTATTGAAACAAAATCTGCAAATACCATTAGCTATGACATGTTTTTCAAAAGGCAAAAAAATCTGTACTCTCTTCCAGTTGTATAGAAAACTTCCCAAACAGTGTAATTTTTCCCCATTCCTAGTTTCTTCATGTGTTTAATGTTTTCTATGCCATTTCCAATGGCAGTGCTGGCTAGGAAATGCATTTTACTTCTTGTATTGTTTCTATTCTTCATTCATTTTTACTATAGCAGTAATACGAAGCGTTTCCCCAAGGACATATGTCTCTTTTGTCTTTTGCTAAGAAATCTCAAGAGACTTTTGCACACTTTTAATCATTTCAGTAGAATTTTGCAAAACATTTTACTAAACATTGTCTGATTTTACATAGTATTAAAACAGTTATGCAGGCTTTGACTTCATGTCTTGGGTGTCTATCTTTACAAGATCTTGCTAATCTTGGGTTTTGACCTTCATTAGCTAACTTCTCCCAGCAAAGTTATCAAGTGAGCTGAGAATGATTTGGGTGATGTAAGAAACTTGGGTGGCCTGGCTTCCATCCCTCCCTGTTCCTGGGGGCACCTTCATTTGATCTAGTGTCATCACTGCCTTTTACTATCAGCCCCTGGAGTTTTTGTACAATTGGCTCCAGCCCATGTGACCCAGAGATGAGCACATGACTCTTCCCAGCCAATCAGTTGGCTCCTCTATCCTCTTCCTGATGGATTCAAGGATGGACTCATGACCCAGGCCTGGCCAATGAGAGGCAATCCCAGGGTTCTGTAGGGATATTTATTAAAGAGACACTCCCGTTCCACTGAGGTTGTTGACCCTCAGGGTAAAAGCCTGCACTGCCAAGAGAAAGTCTGTTTGGAGAAGGCAAGTTGGTGGAAAGCCTGAGGCTGCTGTCTGAGTTCCCACTTTAGCGTTCCTGTTTTCCATGACATGAGCCAAAAATGCACAGCTCCTTTTTGGTTTGTGACCATTTGGGCTACTTCCAATCATTTCCAAACTAAAGGGAATCTGGAGACCCACTGTTCTCTCGTTTATTACGTCTGAGGTGTCTCTCCACGGTCTTGGGCCTCAGGCTGTTTTCCTGCTCATTTGGTCTACACTCAAGGCCCGGGCAGAATGACAACATCGTGGCGGGCTCTCCTGGGACTGTATGTCCCCATCACGCTTGTGGTAGCCTGCCGGGAAGGCCCCTCCCACTGTCTTCCCTCCACACTGGGGCCCATGGGAGTCAGGAATTCTCCAGCTTCACTTCCGCCTCCCAAGCTTTGCTAATCAAATGCACTCATATAACCCTGCAGTAGGAAGACCCGCGTCTTCTTTCTGATCTTTGCAGAAACTGAGAAGAGGAGGATTTGCCAACTCAGCCACCTTCTGCACACCTGATTACCTGAGGAATTTGGCATCTGGGCACACTGACAGGTGTTACAAGGGAAGGGAAGAACCCCCAGCAAGAAAAGATCTTGGTGATTCTGATTTGTAGCCTCATCAGAAGCCACGCAGTGCCATAGGAGAAATGCAGTGCTCACGGCAATAATCTTTCGGAGAAGGTCTGGAAGATCTACAAAAATAAAAACTATACATTCAACAACTCTCTGAGCAAACAGTTCCAGTCCTAGAGACCTGAGAGAAGTGGTAGTGTATACAAACATATGTGTAAGTGAGCATTCTCTAGTTTTACTTATCATAGTTCCAAATTGGAAACAATTCAAATGTCCATCAGAAGAATGATATTTTTTTCAAAAACGATATATTCAGATAATAGTTGACTACTTGGCACATATAAGGCATAAATGATTCATAAAAGGAAGAACATGAATAGATCTTTAAAGCACGATGCAGAGTGAGAGAGGGCAGACCCCAGGAGTCCAGAGTGTGAGATTTCAATTACAGAGCGAGATCCTAATCAGACCTGACCTGGTATGAACGCAATCGGCACACGAACCTCCGAGCCTGCCAGTAGGGGGCGCTGTTCAAGAAGAGCCATGGGGAAGGAAAGACCCAGAAATGCCTTGCTTTCTCTGTCCCTTCCAGTCACTGCCGGTAGCGTCCCTGACCACCAGACCAGTCCTCGAGGCAGTCTGGGATATGGAGAGCACACAGTGACAATGACAGTGCTAGGCAAATCTGTGTCTTAAATTCCGGTCACCAGACTGAGTGATTACAAATACAGGCTGTGCAGGTATTGGAATTTCAGGTGGACAACACCAGCGTTTTCAGAATAAATACGTATCATAGAACACTTGGGACATATGTGGCCTAAGAAATTATTCATTACTGGAATTTTATCCAAGGACCCTTGGCTAAACTCTTGGTCTCTCTGCTCCTCTGTGTGTCTCACTGCCTCTTCCAACAAGAGGCCACGGCACTGGCCGCCCTGGCTGGCCTCCCTCAGTGTCCACACACTGGCACTCTGGTTTGCACCTCTGGAGTGCTCTTGGTGACAGATGACAGAAATCCAATGCAAAGTGGCTTAGGCAGCAAGGGTAGCTTGTTAGCGGAGGGTGTCAAACCTTTGTGAAGCACGGGTGTCAGGGACAGAGCCAGGATTCCCCCTCAACAATGCTTCCATTGCTTCAGCAGCTTGGTCCTCAAGCTGGGCCAGCTTTTAGCTCAATAATGGAGGGGCGTCTTCCTGTATGCAGACTGGAGAGTAATCTTGGGGACAGCTCATCTTGGGTCACCTTTTGACTGGGGCCTTCTGCAAGGATCACTTTCCCACCACTCTGATCCTCAGGTTGTGATGCCTGGGGCAGGAGCAACTGTTCCACTGGGGAGCTGGTTACTGTCCTTGGGCCCCGCCTCTGTGGTAGTGAATTAGAGTCTGCCGAGTGAGGCTTCACAGTCCTTCTGATCACTTTTCTCATCGATACAACCCAATACCTGACACCCACACCTTAAAGGAAGACAGGTTTATTTAGCTCACACTTTGTAGAGGTTCAGTCCATACTTGGCTGGCTCCAAGACAGGGCAGCCTGGCAGAGGACAGCTGATCACGCCTGGTGGACCAGAAGCAGAGAGAATCAAAGGAAGAGCCAGGAACGGAGACAAACCTTCCAGGCCACACCCCAGTGACCCACCCAACCAAGTGTCTCGGTTACTTTTCTCTCATTGCTGAGACAAAATACCTGATGTCCAAAACTAAGGAAGGAAAGGTTTATTTAG